TGATTTATTCTGTAGAGATGAGGTCTCGCTGCCCAGGCAGGTCTCGAACCCGTGGGCTCAGGCAATCCACTCACCTCAGCCTCCCAAAGGCACGGGATTACAGGCTGAGCCACCGAGCCCGGCTTCACCATAGTTATCTTTAAGAGTTTCTCATTTCAAACCAATGTTTAACAATGATATTGCTTCATATTAGATTTTAATCTGCTTACTATGGTAGGCTTTCATATTTTCTTAAATTTGTGCGTTGTTCAGTTTCTTGAACAATTATGAAATTTTAATTTTCCTACTTGAAAGTAAACACTTGGTTGGCATCTATGCATAAATTACAGTCAATCTTATTGCAGTGATAACAAGTAACACTTCCACAGCGTGGCATGGAAATGTGATCATGTTTCTCAAGTGTAAAAACTGGCTTTTTGGTGATTGATCTTCTCAACTTTTTTTTTTTTTTTTTTTTTTTTTTTTTTGAGTTGGGGTCTCGCTCTGTCACCCAGACTGGAGTGCAGTGGCCACTTCCAGCCACTGCAGCCTCGACCTGCTGGGCTCCGGTGATCCTTCCGCTTCAACCTTCCGAGTAGCTGGAACTACAGGCGTGCGCAACCATGCCCGGCTAATTTTTGATTTATTGTAGAGTTGAGGGCTCACCAAGTTGCCCAGGCGGGTCTCGAACCTGTGGGCTCAGGCAATTCACTCACCTTGGCCTCCCAAAGTGCGGGATTACAGGCTGAGCCACCGAGCCCAGCTGGTTTTTTTAATTTTTAAAAATTCAGCCTGCCTTGTCCTTCTTCCCCTTCTCAACTTTTGTATCAAACTTCCCATTAAAAAGTTATGTCAATACTTATATGCTAGATAAGTCTCAAAACAGTCAAGCTGAAAGTAATAAAAATGGAACTATTTTTTTTCAAAAATAAGTGCTTTTTCATATTGGATGTAATTTTGTTGATTTAAGCAAACACACATTTTGATTATATTTCATTATAAGGAATTATATTGCAGTTAGTGTGAGGTAGTTCACATTTGCAAAGGGTAGATGAGATATGGACGATTCAAGGCAGCTGGAGGGTCATATATATAAAAAAATGACTGAAGACATTTTTAAACTTATATTTAAATATTTCTGCATATTGTACTCTGTAGATTGGCTAATGAAGGTGGGAAGTTGTCGTTATTTCATCTTACTGCACTGTGATGCTCGCAGTGTTCTGTGCCCACAGGCTGTGCCATCTTTCAAACTTTCCCCAAAGCGGAGATGATAAACATATTCATGCTTTAATGGAGCTCTCAATATGAAATAAAGATATTAACAAAATATAATAAACAGATTAGATGTTTTTAAATAGCTTGAAATATTTTCTGTGAATAAATTACCATTTTTATATCCTATCTTTGGACAGTTAGTATTTAACTACCATTATATTTTAAAATGTTTCTTAGAGTTCATAAATTCATGGAACGTGAAGGTCGCAGACCTCGTCTTCTTGTGGCAAAAATGGGACAAGATGGCCATGACAGAGGTGCAAAAGTTATTGCTACAGGATTTGCTGATCTTGGTTTTGATGTGGACATAGGTCCTCTTTTTCAGGTACTAAAATTTGTTGAAAGGATTTTCAAAAAGTGTTCTTCTAGTAGTCACATTTAGAAAAAGTAGTAAAATGATGATAGATCAAGGTGATATTTTTAAAGTTATCAAAGAAAAACTTGTTTAATGAATTCTGTACTTTATTTCTGAATTCATATAGCCCGATTATGACAGAAATAAAAAGATCTTATTGTACTATTTATTGAGATTTGACTAATATTTTATTGGAAAGACAGTCCACCTGGGATTGGTACAAATTGTTTTGAAAAGGAAATAAAACTTCAGAATAAGGTCAATTCACAAGTAGATTTTCTGTCTTTTTACTCTCTACTCATATTTTATTTAGTCACAGAATATTAGACCCAGACGAAAAAATGATTTGTTGGAGGTAAGTGAGGCCAACAATCTGTATGGAGTGATAAAACATTAATCTTTCTACTACAAAATAATCTTTGGCTGAAAAGTACATTGTAATAAGTTTTATATTAAAAGCTTTATCCACTACATATTTATTAATCATCTACCAGATGCTAGCCTCTGAGTTGAGTGTAACATGATTTTGTCCTCAGGGACAATTTTTGAACAAAACAAGATTTTAACTTACTAATAATCACAGTAGAGTGTGATAATTAATATAATTAAGGTATGGACGAGGAGAGCAACTCACTTGTTTTAAGTGTTCTCAGAATTTGCATTTGAGCTGTGCCTTTCAGAAGCACAATGCCTTTCACTTTCTAGTAAAATCACTTTCTGAAGTGGATTGAGGGGAGCTTTGACTAGATTCAAGGAGTCAGGTTAAGACAAACAATGAAAAGCGATGAGAAACAATGACATCTTTAACTAGAGCAATGACAGGGACTCAGCATAAACCAAATCTCAGCTAGGATTTTGCAGAAAATTTAATGAAGAGGTGATTTAGATTTGTAGGCAGGACTGGGAGAACCAGCAATCAATAGGGAGGCATCTGGGAATTAAATTTTTAAGAATTTCAAAAGCTGGTTGTTTCACATTGCCGTTACCTTGCCAAAAAAGAGGTTAAATTGACATCAGGACCAGATGAATTAAAGTGTTAAACTGGTCCTTTTCTAAGTAACAGAGACTCTTCCCAAGCAAACTTGCCAGAGTGGGGTGGATTACCTGAGTGTCCATGCAATTATTTTTGTCAAAATAAACAAAAGTGAAAGTCTCCCTCGTCAATAAAAGCAAATGTATTAAGCACTCAAAATTTATCACTTACTATTTATCTTACTATAGTTTATTATCTATACTCGAGGTTATTTCCATGTATTGTATCTATAGGGTGGGGATGCTATATAATTGTGAGACCATTGAGCATCTTTTCCCTGCCTTGCATTCAGTAATATCATGTTAGTAGATTAAAACTGGCTATGGCTGAAATACTTCCAATTTAGAAAACAACAAACACCAAAAAGTAGGGATTGAATTACTGTTTTCTAGATTATCTAGATGTATAAGTGTGATGTAGAAAATGTAAATAATGCAACTACATTTAAAAGTATATCATGTCTGTAGCCATTATTATAGTAGGAAAAGCTCTAAAATTTGAGAAAATATTCTTCCAGTATTCAAAAGTATTATATAATTTAGCAGAGATCATTTGCATTATTCATAAGCAAGTGAAGTTCTGACATATGTTTGTGTCCTTTACTCTAGTGTAAACAAAAATATCAGTCAATCCATGTCAAAACTACATAATCGTTAATGACATGAGTGACATCTTTGCTGAATCAGATCAAAATTGTTTTTCTGTAGTCTGATTTTGTCAAATCATGGTTGAATTGCAACTACAGGTTGATACAAATACAAAAATTTGGCAAATTTAATGAAAGCATTCTGGGAAAATCAATTGACTGTTATTTACAATAAAGAATATTGGATATTTTGTTGCTATTTGTAAGTTGCTGCTACACATCCCTTTTATTGGTAAAATTTATAGTGTGTGTGTGTGTGTGTGTGTGTGTGTGTTTGTGTATGAATCCTTTTGTTTTTTCCCCTAGGGAAGTGATTATTTGTCATTTAGTACCACACCACTTGAAGAGGGTCCCCCTGATTAAAAATTAGTCATGGAGGAACACACCTCTGCCAGAACCATGATTCTGTAGCAGAGAAGAAACATGGAAAAAATAAACTGACCTCTTTCTCTTCCGTTGGAAAAGTTCATCTATAGCCAGAGAGCAGGGGAGTCCCATGCAGGGTTGGGATTTCTGGGGCACTGAGGAGGGCAGAGAATGAATCTTGGGGTAATTAATGCTAGGGCAAAATAACTAAAAGAAGTTTAGCAGATAACCTACAGTGTTTGGTGGTCTGGTTATGAACTTTGGGAGAAATGGGGAATCTAATGATTTCCAGGTTTCCACGTTAGAAATATGGTACCCTTCACTGAGGTAGTACTTGAGGCTTGTCTTTGTACTTTTTGACTGTTAGACACCACGTGAAGTGGCCCAGCAGGCTGTGGACGCAGATGTGCATGCTGTCGGTGTAAGCACACTTGCTGCTGGTCATAAAACCCTAGTTCCTGAACTCATAAAAGAACTGAACTCCCTTGGACGGCCAGATATTCTTGTTATGTGTGGAGGAGTGATACCACCACAGGTATTTTCCATCTTTTCTAATTCTGTGATGAGAATCCTGAGTAATAATAATTTATATGTGGCTATCAAGATAAATTTGTTGTAAATTTAGGACCACATTGTTTTCTGTTGATTGCACTAAGTTCTACAAAGACCAAAAGTGGTGAGTGTTGTTTTCTATTCAAGCTATATTGTAATTCAATATGCATAATTTAACTTGAGAGTTACAAATCTTCTATGAAAGAACTATCTCTCCTTGCAAACTAGTAGTCTATGATAGATAGCTACCTTCTTCATATTCAGTAAACAATGAAGGAGAAGGAACAGGATAAAAATGATAAAACTTAACAACCAGAGGAGAGAATAATGGTAAACACTCAGTGAATATGTTAAACTCTAGTCAGAGATACAGTGAGGGCTCCTAGTCCTAGATGTGGAATGAGTTCTTTAGTTAGCTTCTGTTTTAGAGAAGCTGCCTTGTCCATTTCCTTTGTTTTCTCATTCCTAAATGTTGCTGTATCTCAGAGCTATATCAGTTATACAGTCTTGTAAAACCAAATTTTGATTTAAACTAATTTGATTATGGTATGATTTATTTTCTTGGAGCCAAGATATCCTAATATAGACATGAATAGAATCAGCTTGTCCTGAAAATTATAGGCTGAATGGGAAAGTGTTCAATACTTGAACAAAAATGTAGGTCCCTCTTGGAACGGAAAAATGAACCCTAGGTAACAATGATGTCAGTTAATTTAATGAGGTGAGGAGACACCTTTCACATATTACATTCCTGATCTGTTAAAATAGATAAGATATAAGTAGGGTCTGTTTCCAATCCAGTTTTAACTTATATCAAGGCATTTTGTTGTTGTTGTTTCATTTTGTTTTTACTGAGAATGAAAAAAGTATTGATTTAGAACAACTGTGCATGAGGCTGCTCTAAGTAAATGATTCATAGATGCTACAAACCCAACCACTATAGCAGAAATCTCTCGGTGACATGTGACCTTGTTTCCAGCACTACAGTTTTTTTTTCCCTCCTCTAAAATTCAGAATAGAGACTAGTGAATTTATATGCTACTTATGAAAGAAGAAAATACATATATATGAGGTTGTGAGATTGATAATAATGTGGGGCTGGTGAACAAACTGCTTGTTTATATTCCTTCTGACAACACATTATTTAATGTGATAGCATCAACACAAAATTCCTTTTGTTAACATACTTGTCTATTATTTGCATAAATATAGTTCATTATTTGGGAAAATAAAGGGCTGTTATTCTTTACTGCAGTCTATATACAGAATACTTCTATCTGTATTACAGTTTTAGAGTCTATAATACCTACTACCATATTAAATTGTAAGATCCAAAATAATTAGGCAGCAGAAAATACTCAAATTTAAATATGTATTGAGGAAAGATGTAGGCCTCTTATAAGTGAGCTGACATTTTCAAGAAATATATTTCACACAAATTATATTAACCCTGTGGATATTTAAATGAACTTAGAACATCTTTAGGTATTTGCCGTACTCTTTTTTCCCATGAACTTAATAACTAAGAGCCATTTTTCATGTTACATTTCTGTGTTAATATTGGTATCCTTCATTATATAATTCTAGTGGTTCATACTCTTGTATTTTTCTCATCATTTGTTTTCACTGAGTATTTAAAAATACTGCTATTATTCAATTGAAAGTCACTTAGTTTTTAAATTGGAAGTCACTAATATATAGTGGATGATAAAACAGATACAGCCCTTGCCATTGTGGAACTTACAGTTTCTGCAGTCTAATTAAATTAATGTGATCTGTCTCACCAGTATGTTACCACAATCAGGATTTTCTAACCCTGTTAACAGCAGTGGCCTCCAAGGTATTTTAGGGAAGCAGGCAGTATGCTATATTTCCCTGTCTCAGCTAAATGAAAGACATATAAAAATAATTTTTTATTTGGAAATAATTTCAGAAAACAGATAAGGCACAAAAATAAAAGTAGTACAAAGAACACCTGTATACTCTTTACCCAGATTCACTTATTGCTAACATTTTACCTATCACTAGGGCCATTTTTCAAGGCTTATGTAAGACTCAGGTGAATCAAAAACTCTTCTCAGTTGCAATATTTTACAGTCCTCTTCTGTTTTTACCCTCAATTCTAAATTCATAACTCGAACTGCAAGACAGATGGTATACAGCATTTTTAGGAAAGAAAGGAGATAACCTATTAATCTGATCATACCCAATTTTGAGATGATTGTTACTACATTTCATCCAGGTTTTTTTTAACGAGCTCTTAAAATCTGTAGCACTTGCTTGAGAACAGTGACATGTTTGGAGTACTTTTATGTGTCATATGCTGGGAATACAAAAATGATTGGACATGACCCCTGCTCTCAGAAGTTCACAGACTAGAAGGAGACAAGCTCAATAAGATGTATTAAGTTCCACTGCAAAATTATATAGTATTATAAGAATATCACAGAGGTATAATGGAAGCAGAAAAGAAGTAGTTGGAGGATAATTAGTGTGACCATATAATTTATCATTCAAATGTAATCATCTGAGAATAGGAATGGGTATTGTTAAAACAGGTACTGCAACAATAAACACAAGTCAAACTGTCCTGTCATACATGATCACCTTAGTGGATAAGAATCAGGGCCTTAAAGTATATCCTAACCTTGATGTTATAGCTACAGATGTTCTGATATGAAAACAAACTGAAGCCTGGAGCAGTATTTATGCCATGGGAATCTTTTCTCTCAAACTTTGACTGTTGTTAAAATAAACTAGCAAACAGCAACAGAGAATGGGGTGGGGGGGAAAGCTTATCTTAATTTATAGAAAATCTAATTTCATCATGACACCAGTTCACTAGCTGCAGACAAAATACCTAGGAGGAAATAGTCTTGTAAGCTCAAAGCTATAATATGATACTAAATTTTACACAAATAATAATGAGTAATGAAAATACAGTTGAGAGAAAATTGTGGTTTAGGGCTCGGAAGTTTCCAGACAGAACTAGATAGCTTCCCACCACAAACAACAAACTGGAATATTTAGAGAGTGGGCAGAGTATGTTTTGTTCTTCTAATGCCTTAGGCTGGGAGGGTGGTGCTACTGGCTATTAGTAGCAGTCCCAATCAAGGAAGAATTTTTTAACCCCAACTGCCATAATATACCAGTTGAGAGGGTTTTGGGCATGGGGGAAAAAGAAGAAAGGATAGGGTTTATTGCTCTTTTATTTCCTTGAAATTGGAAATAGTATCTCTTTTATTAATTAAACAAATTCTTTCAACAGGATTACGAATTTCTGTTTGATGTTGGTGTTTCCAATGTATTTGGCCCTGGGACTCGAATTCCAAATGCTGCCATTCAAGTGCTTGATGATATTGAGAAGTGTTTGGAAAAGAAGCAGCAATCTGCATAATATCCTGTTTTTGTTTTAACCTTTTTCTGCATTATTTTTAAAATTATGTTCAAAGAAGAGAGTAAAGCTATGTTTTCAAATTAAGTTCAACATCTGAACTGTACTTGAAAGCTTTATAGTGAAATGCCATAAGTGTGTTGTCATACTGCAAGCGTGTATGTACAATTTCACTTAAAAATTTTTTAAACCTGTCTATAACAATACTTCATTAGAAATTCTAGACTAAGGTATGATTTTTTAAAATCATGGTGATATATTTATTAGAAATATTTCTTATAAATCGATTTACTTTTTATTTTAATAATTAAACTTTAACCTTAAAAAATTTGATTATAGATGTTTTCTTCAATTTAGTGTTACATTGACTCAAACACCAGGAGATAAAATTCATATATTAATAAAATAATAACAACTACTTTGGAATAACAGTGGAGAGTGTTTATGTGGGGAAAGAGATTATAGGCGTGGTCCTCAGCCAAATGCTTCCAGAGTCACCTTGAAAAGATTATTAAATCAAATATGGCAGGTTGGAACTTGGGGGGGGCAGAGTTGGCAGCATATTTCTTCAAGACTGATTTTTCTTTCTTCCAGAGCCTGACCATGTAACCTTGTTATTGCTGGGCTTGGCTCAAGACCCAGGAGACTGAATGTTTATGAACATTCCCTAAATGAAAGTGCTTAGGTTGTTATTATGGCTTTCTCCAGAATGGTGATGTCAGCTGTGCGTATAGGTCTATAATACAGGAAAAATTGAACTTTTCAGGTCCGGAAAGATGCCACCTTGCATAGGTTGCTCATTAAAGATAAGTTGCAAAAATAAAAATAGCACAAGGAACACCTGTACTTTGCTTTGTTAAAATATTTTTTTATTAAAGAGGTAAAGTTGTCCTTTATTGTTTAACACGATCCATGAAATGAATATGAAAAAATAGTAATTCTTTTGCAATGATTTCTGTTTTATTTTATTAGATCAGGGAACAGTCTTTTGTAAGGTATTATAAGATTTGTATATTGCTTTAAAATTTACAATCTACATTGTAATTTTCAGAACATGATTATTAAAATGATGTTAAGTTGTGATTATTGTTCCCATTTTATAGATTAGCAACCTGATTTCAAGTCCAGTGATATGTTTTCTATGCCATTTTACTGACTTTTCCTTATAAAGAAAGGCAAACTAACTTAATTAAGTATTTGCTTTCTATGATGTGTTCAATTGTGTGCTGGGTAACGTGTGAAATAAAGTCATTTTTGAAGAATTTGCAATTCTTGCTATTCAGTGTCTTTTGAGTAGGCTACCAAAGGAATAAACATTTCACATTTGTTATGTATTTTTTACCTGAACCCAGAAGTACTGGGTCCAATCACCTCAATGTTTGAAAACCCATTCCCTGAAATATTCACTGGTATAACCTATAGGAATTAAATTTTGCCTGATTCTTAGATTAAATTTCCTTACTATTAATGCAGAGAATGTCAAAGACAGTTTAGTGCTACTTATATTTCAAAAAAATTCCAAAAGAAATTTTACTTTATGTCTTTTATTAGTATTCTCATTTTTGGTTGAAAACTTCTATGTCCATCAATGAGCAGACTTTTGGAAATGATCAGGACAACAATCAAGTATCAAAAGAAAATGAACATATATCTTGTACAGATAACCTATCCCATATTAATCAAATAGTACTACAAAATATTAATGGATCAGGAAGACAGCTGCTTCCCTCATTTCTTTCTGATGAAAAGTCTAATTCAAAATAGAAGACTCCAGTGACAATTATAAGGCACTATCAAAATATACTGCACAAAGCAATTTAACTTACTAAGGTATGTGTTGTTTCACAGCACTCTTATCAATCTAATAGTGCCCACATCTTATTACAGCTATTTCACCTTTGATAAGATTTAAATTTATAATGCATTATGTCAGTGAGGGCAAGATTTTGCATTCATATCTACTGTGATCTAAATATCTTTGTTTGCTTTAAGTGTTTACAGACTAATGAGGAATCAATAGTTGATCTTTGAGACACACAAACAGACACACACCTGAACTGAGGAAATAAGCAACTCAGACATTACCTAACTTAAACTCTGTCAAAGAGGGTTCAGTCAGAGAAGAAGAATCAGTAGGATAAATGTGTGTGTGTGTGTGTGTGTGTGTGTGAGATTTATTATGAGGAATGGGCTTACACAGAAATGGAGGCTGGCGAAGCCTCCTGATATCTACAGGCAAACAAAGGGGAGGTCACGAGCAAGCTGAACCCTACTGGCACAGGTGGAAGCTTGTTTTCTTCAGAAGGCAGTCAGGAAGAAAGGTCAGAGTGGAGGGAGAGCAACATGTCAATTTAGCTGTTTGGAGCCTCTGGGCTTAGGAAGGGTTCAAGCCCTCTTTTAAAGGGCTTTATTTGATGAAGTCAGATAGCTCACTCAGGATAATCTCCCTTTTGATTAAAGTCAACTGATTAGGGACTTTAATTATATCTACAAAATCCCTTCCCAGCATAATTTAGAGATTAGTGCTTGATTAACTGAGAAGGTGTGTTTGTGTGTGTGCTACAGAGTGACTGTTGTCTCCTTCCCATTCTCTAATCCTCAGGAGGGGATATCTCATACTTTGTATCCCACCCTAACTGGAAAGATACTAGAAAGGGAATTTTGGAGACAGTAGTTCATTCAGCCTAGTTAAATTGACACATTACAAATTCATTATACAGATAGACAACTGAGGAGGGGAAAGGAAGATCATTTAAATGGCATTTATAGCATGTCTGTATTGAGAGCATGTCTGTAGCCTGTCTGTTAGCGCAAGGCTCAGCAGTTTTCATATTTATATCTGAAGAAAGACACATTAATAAGATTCATACCTATCTATGTTTGCTATTCAACATTCAGTGGAAAGGTTCAAATTTTAGAGTCAGTACATATATAGTTGGTGATAAAAACTTTGAAGAAGAATCACTTTTGTATTGATTCAAACATTTACATCAAAAGTATTTAGTCCATCTTAAAAATATCACCATTCTCAGCTGGGAGTAGTGGCTCACTCCAATAATCCCAGCACTTTTGGAGGCCAAGATGGAAGGATTGCTTGAGCCCAGGGGTCTGAGACCAGCCTAGGTCACAGAGAAAGACCTTGTTTCTACAAAAAATTTTAAAAAGTAGCCAGGTGTGGTGGTGTGTGCCTGTAGTCCTAGTAACTCAGAAGGCTGAGGTGGAAGATGACCTGAGCCCAGGAAGTTGAGGCTGCGGTGAGCTGTGATCATGTCATTGTACTCCAACCTGCGTGACAGAATGAGACCCTGAATAAATCCAAAAAGAAAAAAAAAATCATTCTTAAAGTTTCTGGCATTAATGAGCCTACATCAAGTAGAGATTAGTAGATGCATAAGAATTTTTCTAAAAAAAATTAAATATCTAAGTATTAGAGATAAAACTCTAAACTCCAGAAGAAAACATAGGGGAGTTGCTTCATGACATTTGACAATGATTTCTTGTATATGATACCAAAACTCAGGCAACAAAAGGAAAAATAGGTAAGTTGGTAATCATCAAAATTAAAAACTTTTGTGTATTGTAGGACATTATCAAGAGAATGGAAAGGTAATTCACACAATGGAGAATACATTTGCAAATCATATGTCTTATAAGGAACTGACATCTTGAATATATAAAGAATTTATAACTCAACAGCAACCGAAAAATACCCTGTTACAAAATGGGCAAAAGGCTTAAATAGACATTTCTTCAAAGAAGTTACACAGATGGTCAATAAGCACATTAAAAAAAAATTATCAACATCACCAGTTATTAGGTAAATGCAAATCAAAGCCATAATGAAATACATTTTATACTCAATAGAATGATTGTTATCCAATACAAATAAAAAAATTGAACAAATGTTGGTAAGGATATGGAGAAATTAGAACCTTGTGCATTGCTGGTGGGCGTGTTCAATGGTGTAGTTATGGAGGAAAATATACAGTGATTCCTCAAAAAGAAAATAGAAAAAAGAAAGAAAAAGAAAAACAGAATTACCATATATTCCAGTAATTCTACCACTGGGTATATACTAAAAAGTTAAAACAGGGACTCAAGTAGGTATTTGTACACCAATTGCTATGAACTGAATGTGACTCCAAAAATTCATATCATTCATTTAAAGCCCCGATTCCCAATGTGATGATATTTTCGGGGGGGGGGGGGTGCCTTCAGGAGATAATTAGGTTTGGATGAGGTCATAAGGATGGGATCCTCATGATGGAATTAGTGCCTTTATAAGAAGAGGCCAGAAAGCATGCTCTCTCTCTCTCCTGGTCATGTGAGGATACAGTAAGAAGACGGCCATCTTCAAGACAGTCCTCACCAGGAGCTGAGTTGGTCTGGATCTCAGTCCTTCACTCCTTAGCTTTTAGAACTGTGAGAAACAAATACCTGTTGTTTAAGTCACTCATTCTATGTTATGTTGTAGCAACATGAGCAGACTAAGACACAAATGTTCATAGTAACATCTCTCATACATAGTAGCCAAAAGGTGGAAGCAAACCAAATGTCCAGCAACAGGCTAATGGATAAACAAAATGTGGTATATATTTGCAATGAAATATTATTCAGCCTTAGCAAGGAAGAAAATTCTGACACATGCTGCGACATGGATGAATGAAACTTCAGGACATGCTAAGAAATAAATCAGTCACAAAAGGACAAACACTGATCCCATATGAGGGTCCTAGGGCAGTCAAATTCATAGAGGCAGAAAGTAGAATGATGGCTGCCAGGGGCTGGGAAAGAATGGGAAATTATTGTTTAATAAGTACAGAGATTTAGTTTAGCAAGATGAATTTTGGAGATGGATGGTGTTGATAGTTGCATGACAATGTGAATGTACCTAAATCAAGAAAACTCTACATGAACAGGGTCAACTTTCTGTTATGTATATTTACCACACCAAAAAAAGTATTTAGAACAATTCCTAACATATGCTACAGGCTTTATTTATTTATTATTATTGTATTATTACTATTTTTTAAAATGAATGAATGGCAAGGCATGAAACCAAGAAGGTAGTCAGAGACCAGATCATTTTGAATATTACACTGTAAAGAGATTTCGATTTCAAAGATTATAGAGAGTCATATAAAAAGTTTTAAACTATGAAAGTAATCTGAAAAGG